GTTTTCCAGGAGCAGTTTTATAGTTTGAGGTCTTAGATTTAGATCTTTGACCCACCTTGACTTTATTTTTGTCAGAGATGAGAGGTAGAGGTTCAGATTCATCTTTCTGCAAGTGGAGATCCAGTTTTGCCAGCACCATTTGCTGAAGAGGTTTTCCTTTTCCCACTGAATTGACCCCTTGTCAAAAATCAGTTGGCTGTATGTTTGAGCATTCATTTCTGGGGACTCTATTCTGTTCCATTGGTCCACCTGTCTGTTTCTGTGCCAGAACAGCATACAGTTGGATCTTTAAAAAATTCATTTTGGCTGTCTTGGCTTATTAATTGGAGTGGTTTAATCCACTTGTATTTAACATCATTACTTATAAAGTAGGACTTTAAAATTTTGCTATTCATTTGTTTTGTTCCTCTGTTTCTCAGTTAATACACCATTTTAATTCCCTTATCACTTCTTTTGTTTTTTTTTTGTTTGTTTGTTTATTGGTAACAAAAAGAGTTACAAAAAAAATTACACTGTCTTATATATACCTATCTATGCTGCCACCTTTACCATTACCCTTTATTTCTTATGTGGATTCCAGTTACTTTCTAATGTCCTTTTATTTCAGTCTGATGAACTCATTTAGTATTTCTTAAATGCCACAGTTCACATGCACCAAAGGTGAAGACCTTATACTGTTAGATTGCCCCACACTTTAGGCCAAGATTTTGAATTGCCACATCCACAAGAGTATATTTAAACCAAAACAAATTACTTTGTTTTGAATGAATTACTTTATTTAAACAAGAAATTTTAAAATATCTTGAATGAATTTTTTTCCTTTTTTTTTTATCTGGGAATATCTTAATTTCTTTATCATTTTTGAAAGATAATTTTGTTAAACTTGTCTTTTAATATTATTTATTTAATTTCATTAATTATTATTTAATTTACTACTGGGCATGTGAGCTCACTAGATAGAGAGAGAAAGTGAGAAAGCAAGCTGCCAGGTCTGGGACTTGAACCATGGTCGGCCATGTGGGAGTCTAGAGCCTTAACCATCAAGCTACTCACTGACTTCTTGAAGCATAATTTTGCTGTATTTAGAATTCTTGGTTGATTCTTTTTCTTCCAGCATTTAAAATATATCATTCCAGTATATTCTGGCCTCATGATGAGCCACTTACCTCTTGCTGCTTTCAAGATTCTCTGTCTCTTTAAATAGTTTAATTATGTATATTTTGGGACATGCCATCAACCCTCATTCAGGTAGTTGACAATTCTCCTTTAGCTTTCACTTCTGATTATACAGAGTTCAAGGTCTGCCAGAGGTAAGAAAATCTTCTCAGATCTTACCTGGACATGCACACAGCTCTGGACATGTGTACAATCCTATACACATTCATGGTTCTCTAGAGTCCTAGGAATATGTAGAAATTCTCCAGAGCCTCCTGTGGTCATCCCATTTCCTACCCTTTCCTTTCTTTTATTTTTTATTTTTTTGGTTAATCTATTGTTTGCCAATTTTACCTACCACCTCAGGAAGCTACAAAATTAATCAATTACCTCTTACTGTTTTCAATACACATCCCTGGAGAAAGTCTTTATGTACTGGGTGATCTGTACTGGGTGATCTCTTGAATCCATCCAGTAAGACACCTTATATGTGGGGTCTTTCAGGGAACAGAAAGGTCATAAAATGACAGTTCTCCCAGAATGAGCCTTTGAAGGAGTTATACCCCTGTTCTTCCACCTCTGATAACTACTAGGCTGTTGGTTTTCATTGTGATTGCCGTCAACTGGTTTACAAACCAACTCCAAAAATGGAGAATGGAAGATTGAAATAGGGCAAGGTAAAATAGCACAAAGATCCAGCCAATTTTCTTTAGTAAACACTCCATAAATTACTGTAAGCCTTCTGTTAATTCCCAGAGTTCTGAAATGGTTTATTATTTTAATTTTGCTAGTGTTTTTATCATTTTGATAGAAATTTTTTTTTCTCAAAGCCTTTTTATTTCATTTTAGACACTCAGTCACTATACATCACTACAGCTTGTACAGTGAATTTACCCAACATGAATATACTTCATAATAGTCTACTTGAAGATACTATACATGTTATCATTAACAGATAATCATCCATTTCTGTGTCCCATAAATGTCTTACCTCTCTATTTTTCTCCTTGATTCCTTTCCTCACACTTTTTCCTTTCTCCCACCCTCTTCCCACACTGTCTCCAGTATCCATAACCATTTTCCATGGTTCTATATATTCTAATATTCCGGTTTCTACCATAGAGTGCAGACAGTTGGTATATATTAAGTGGAGACATACAGTGTCTCTCTTTCATAGCCTGACTTGCTTCACTCAGCAGTAAATCTTTCATATTCATCCATTTTCTATCAAATGCCAGAGTCTTGTTGTTTTTTATGGCTGGAGTGATAATATATAGAGATATGTGCCACACAGGTTTTCTTTCTTTCTTTCCTTATTTCTTTTCTTTTCTATTTTTTTTTTTTTTTTTTTTTTTTGGGGGGGTTTTTTGTTAACGGGGGACTCG